TCTATTTAAATTATTGTCAGTAAGCACTTTCTTTTTGATTATGGAAATTTTTTAAATTTATTTTATTATTCTTGTTTACTCTTTATTACTTTTCTTTATGTTTATGTGTTTGGTTTCTTAATGAAATATGTATGTGGGCAGCCTGAAAAGGTCAGAAAGGGGCATTGGCACTCTTGGAACTGGAGGTAATTTAAGTCAGTGCATCATTTAGAAGAGCAGCAAGTGCTTAATAAACCAGAAGTCAAATTCCCAGAGTCAGATTTTTTTTCTTTACATGGAAAATAGATTTTATTTTGGCCTGGTGCTGGTGGCACAAGCTGTTAATCCCAGCACTTGGGAGGCAGAGGCAGGTGAAACTCTATTAGTTCAAGGCCAGCCTGGTTTACAAAGTCAGCTTCAGGACAGTCAGGGCTATTACCAAGAGAAACCCTGTCTGGAAAAAACAAAAAACAAAAAAAAAAAACAAAGAAACAGAAAAAGATTTTTTTTCATAGTATATTCTGAGTATGGTTGCCTCTCCCATTTCTCTCATATCCCCCTATCTACCTGAACACTGAGTCCATGCACTTTTCTGTTCTATCAGTATAAACAAAGAGGCAGATGAAAAAGAAATAAGATTTAAAAGTGTAGTGTGGGAAAATTGTATTCTGCAGTTATATTTTAAATAAACGCTGATTGGCCAGTAGCCAGGCAGGAAGTATAGGCAAGACAACCAGACAGGAAGTAGAAGTGGGGCAATGAGGACAGGAGTATTCTGGGAAGAAGGAAACTCTTTCTGCATCCTCCCCAGACATCGAAGAAACAGGATGTTACCTGCTCCACTGAAAAAGGTACTGAGCCTTGTGGCTAACATAGATAAGAATAGTGGGTTAATATAAGTTATAAGAGCTCATAGAAAGCCTGAGCTAATGGGCCAATCAGATTATAACTTATGGAGACCTCTGTGTGATTTTCTTTGGGACATGCTGGCTGTGGAAACTGGGCAGGACAAAAATCCCAACCTAGCCCTCATGTTACAAAAAATAAAAGCCCAGACCTCATGTTACAAAAGTGAATCCAACAAAACAAACACATGAATAAAAAAACAAAGATCCAAAGAAAGAGCACAAGAAACCTATATAGACATAGAGACAAAAACCTTGATACACACAAATATTCCCTTAAAGGAAGGGGAAATTGGAAAGCATAGAAGAAATAGACATGTAGGGTAAGTAGGAGAAAGAGAGAGAGAGAGAGAGAGAGAGAGAGAGAGAGAGAGAGAGAGATTAGAAAAAAGATTATGAGACAAAGAAATTTCAAAAATACCATTAAGTTTTGTTTTGTGTTGGCCATCTACTTCTAGGATGGAACCTGACTCTAAGGTTTATTTGTGTACCCAGTGAGACTTCATTAGAAAAAAAAAATAAACAAATTTTCATTTGCAACTGAATATAAGTTGGAGATGGGTTAGGGATGAGGGTTTTTATCCAATTTCATTCTCAGGACTAAGATCCTATCAGACCCAGATGTGGACAAGTCCTGGGAATGCTGCCAGATCAGTTTTTAAAAATTAAATCAATGTGGTTACACAGATACTCATCTCAGCTTAATTTGTTAATTTATCCAGATTTTAAAGATGTAAAATCCCAGAGTTCTGGCTTCTCTGACAGGGTTTCTCTGTAGCTTTGCAGCCTGTCCTGGAACTCACTCTGTAGACCAGGCCGGCCTCAAAATCACAGAGATCCTCCTGTCTCTGCCTTGTGCTGAGATTAAAGGTATGCGCCACCGCTGCCCAGCCTATCTTACGTTCTTAAAAGTAAATTACTGTACCTTGTGCTGTATTTAGGTCATATTAAATACCAACGGCTTTTCATTTCATGTTTCTAAGATTGACAACAATTGTATTCACCAAAGAAAGTGGATGGTGAATTTTCTTTGATATATGAACAATAGACCTTGAACAGGTATTATCTTTTAGATTATAAAGTCAATTATCCTGTAAAACAAATTTATAATCATAGGAAAAAGTAAGAGTGGGCATATTTCTTTAAATCAGTTCTATGGCAATATATTTAAAAGTATTAAATAATTAACCTCACTAACTTTTTAGCAATCAAGGATGTCACATATGGCACTCTTAAAGCCTTGGTTTATTACTCTCCACTGCTTTCTAACTAACTAGCTATGCCTCCTGCTAAACTCCTATTACTATATCTTTGGATAGCTATAATTTTTTAAAGGCAGCTTTGCACTCTTTGCTGAACCTTTTATTGAGTTCTCATTTTTTTTCCTCCCTACCCCCCCCCATGCAGTCCTGGATCTTTGGCTGATGCCCTGATGGTGGAAGAAATAGTCCACTCATTATGAGAAGAGGGCATGTTTTGATTATTCCTCCAGGACCGTGCATGCTTGGGACCCCACCCACCATGCTGTAAGCAGCTCAGGTTACACAGTTGTCAAGTGAAGGTGAAGATGAGACTGCCCTCCTCCCTCCAGGTCTAGGAAGGTGAGCATCCAAACAGACTAGGATCCCAAAAAGCCAGTACATGCAGACGAAACAAGTCCCAGTGCCATTATCAATGGCTTCTCAGACAGCCCCCATGTCAGCCACATTCAGAGAATTCGTTTTGATCACATGCTCGTTCAGTCCCAGTCTAGCAGGCCTTGGTGAGCTCTCATTAGATCAGTCCCCTTGTGTCAGTGGGAGAATGCACCCCTCGTGGTCCTGATTTAACTTCCCACAGGGCAGGAAACCCTGACTGATCTTAGGACTGGAGAGGGAGGAGGAGAGGGAGTGAGGGGAGTCGGGGGAGTGGGAGGGTTTTGGGAGGAGGGGAGGAAGTGGAAATTTGTATAAATTAATAAAAAATAAATAAATAATAAAACTCAAAAAATATTTAAAAAATATTAAGTACCTCCAGTAGGTATATTCAAACTCTTGAAAAAAAAAAAAAAAAAGATGAGACTGCCCTAAGATTGCCTCCGATGACGACTCTGCAACTGGCGGCCACTGCCCACTGCAAGCCATCCTAACTCAGTCTCCTCTAATAACAGCATCTGTTTTGTTACATGAAGCAGAACTACCCAGTTCAGAGCAGCTAAAATGTAGAGTCATGAAACCACAGAGTTATTTTTAAGTCACTAAAGTTTCTATTGGGGAGTTGTAACAGGTAAAACCTTTTTACCTTATTCAAAGTTGGCTCAAAAGCTTTATTCCTTCTTTTTCATTGTTACTCAAGGTCAAACTGTCTTCTTCCATTTTTTTTTTCTGGAGTTACTAGCCTGTTGCTAGGCACATAGAGAGGTGACTGCCTGAGACTGTCACATGAATCACAAGAAGATGTAAGGAATAGACTTCTGCTATAAAGCAGTGTTATTTAAAGCTGTAAGAGCTTTTATTAAATTTGTATTAATATCCATTTTAAACAGACTTACCCATGTCCGCAGAGGCATTAAATACATCTGAATTAATTAGTAAAATTAACAATAATTTAGGGGTTTGGGGAAGATTCAACCTAAAATCTCTCATTTTTTAAGATTTGCACAAGGTGGTAATATAGTTATAAAGTTATAAAAAAATAGCATAAGAAAAAAATAAAATTGTATAAATTAATACTTATTAAATGCGGGCTGCAAAAATGACTATCAAGAACCATACCGTAAACTCAGGGGTGATTATAATAAGATTGTCTTCTAGGAGATGTACTTCCTTGTTATTGCAAGAAGGCCAGGTTCAATTTCAAGCACCCTATGGTACCTACCACCTTCTTATAATACATTTAGGAGGGATATGAGACCATGTTATTACCCCTACAGGCACCAGGCACACATGTGGTACACTGACATACTACTTGCTTTCATATATATATATTAGTATATATATGAAATATATATAAATATTACATGATATTATATATATATATGTTATATGACACATAAGCATACAATAAAATAAGTAAACCTTAAGATAAATGTTCTTCTAGTGTCTACCTTGTACTATGCATGGACTTAGCCAGGAAATAAAAAATGAGACCTAATCACTGTTGGTAATATTGCTCTTTGCTGGATACTGAATACCACTTTATCAACTAATATTAAAAGGTGAGATGGCATCCAAGTCTATATCCTGAGATTACCAGATCTTCGGAGAGTACTGCTGTACCTTATTTAGGAATTTTAATAAGGTATAAAGGAAGAGGTATTCTTTAAAATGTTATTTTCATTGTTTAATTTCCAATGTACTTTTAAATCTATTTTTTCCTATTCACATTATCAGTAACTGTATCAAAAGTGAAGAAATATCCAAAAAACCTAAATAGTTCTCCAAACACCTATCCTTGAGAGTTAATTTATTCTCAGACACCTCTCCCTAGTGCATTGCTTCCCAGGATTCAAATCCCTCTGTTTTAGAATTACTTTAGCTCAGAAGAGGAAGGTGATTTGAAAATTATGCAGAACAGGGACGAGTATGTACATGAGTGCTTTGGAAGTAGTAGTAAAATCCTTTTTCCTCGAAATTTTTAAATTGCACTTGAATAAAATGCAAAGGTAACTACTTTTATTTACAGAGAGGACACATTCAAAATATTTATTAAATGTGTTTTGAAACTATTCTGAGATGCAAGTCACCCACAAAAACAAGCACAACATATTTTTGTACTCATATGGCCAGTCTTTATTGCTCCAGTCCATTCTAAATATATTGCCTAAAGAGTTTAAGGTTTAAGTCTCCAAGATCAAATCGGGGGCTTTCTCAAGTGGAAGTCGTGAGCAAGCTGGAGAGAGAAGGCTGGGGTGGGAGGAGGAGAAGGCAGGGAAGGAAATGGGAGAGAGGGAGGGGGAAAGGAAGAGGGTGAATAAGAAAACCATCTGGAGTGTAGTCTCATACGTTTCAAGCATGTGGGCATCACTGTCTAGACTGTAACAAAGAGGTGACCATGGTGTTTTGGGGGGACTCTGGACATACTGATGCTACCCTGCAAGCCCATCTGTAGCCTTACCTAAGTTCACACCGGGAATTAGGCGCTCCCAATCCCGTGCAAGAGAGCACACACGTTCCTGAGAGAGGCCACAGGTTCTCCCATGTGCTGAATCAGTTTTCTAAACAGAAGGGAAGGGTCCCATCTGCTGGAGACTTAGTTCAATTCTAGGGTTTCTGGTTATTGAGGGAAGACTGTGTGAGCTCAGTGAGGGGCAGGAAAACCGCTCAGCTCTCAGTGGCAGGCAGTGCAGGCAAGCAAGGGCGGAGAAGAGTCATTTAGTGCTGGCAAATCTCAACCTGGGCCCCAGGTGCTGAGCTCCAGGAGAGCTGCCTCTGATCTCCAAGGTGTTCTCGGGAAGCTGGGGCTAGAAAGCCAGTCCAGCGTGGGGATCCTCATCCTCCCTCCAAGCAACGTACCTGTCCTAGGCTGCAGACCCACATTCTTGGGGAACCCTCTTCTCGGGGACCGGTCCAGACTGTGTTGCCTCTGCTCCCTGCCGCTGCCGCGCCTGCCTTGCTGCGATCCCACCAGTACCATGGAGGAATTCTCCCACTGCCCGCCCGCTCTGGGCGACTTTGACTCCGGAATATCTGCTCTGGCGCCTTTCGGGTGAGCTCAGAGAGGAACCGGTCTCCCTCCCGGTCTGAGATTACCCGAGAAAAGAAGATCCCCCTAGTCCCAGAGCTGCAAATCGATTTTTCCGTCAGCGTCTTCGTCCTCCGCCCCTTCTTCCTTGCCTCTGGGTTTGTTTATATAGCATCTGGCAGGAGGGAGACAGTGGCCACCCTCGCCTGGCGACTCGCCCTCCCCTCCTAGCCTCTAGGCTCCCACACGTGGTAGGCACCAATATCATTGCCAGCAGGCAAGCTACAGCCAGCGGGAGGCGGACGCCTGGGTGCCAGCGCCACGCGCGTTCTCGCCATCCCTCACTCATCCTCCGCGCGCCCTCTCCCACTTGCCTCTAAAGCCGGGTCACACTTGGCATTTGCCGCCAGCCATCCGTCCCTTGACGTGAAGAGGAGATCGGAAAGGAAATACTGCCCTGGAGGTGCTGATGATGCTTCGCTGGGTTCGTTCAGTTGCTAGAAAAGAATGGTAACATGAACAGTGGAGCGTGAGAGCGTCGGCAGAGGAAGGGGACCAGATTGATGGGCGGAGAGCACACTTCTCTGAGGATCTCCTTCCCTGGACTGCACGAGGAAGGGTCGTCTTTGAGCCTGCACTTCCTGGCTGGACTCAGCCTACATCCGTAGAGTCTTTTCACCAGGTTCCCAGGACTTCTTGATGCTGCCTGCCGAGGAGTGGTCTGACAGCGCATGAGGATTCAGGAGTTTGTGAACCCTCATTCAAACATAGTTCTGACCTGGCTATGGTGTTCCTGGATCCTGCCTGACAAGCTGGCTCCAGAGGGAGTTGAACTTGAGTTCAGGTGGGTTATCCCAAGGCAAGCAAAGGAAGAGCTGTTATAGGAAGATAAGAAAGGTGATGTTCCAATGTCAAAAGTGGACATGTATCTTCCAGACACTTGACTGGACCAAGCCACTCCCTCTCATTCAGTTCTCGCTCTTAATCTCCTACTCTACATCCTGGACCTCCCACCCTAAAGGCGGGGGATGCTGGGCAAACAGCGACAGAGAAACACCTGCTATTTACTGATATTTCTAGCATGCTCTTGACTTCCCCATAACTTGTTATTCTATGAAACGGTCTTTATTTACTTTATTTACTCCACTGCTTTATATTAATGGAGGTCAATAGACTTAATGATTTCCTCAGTAGAGTCATTTCTTTCTAAGCCAATAGATAATGCCGTCGTCATAGTTTTCTGGAGAAAAGTAACTGTGCGTTTGTTCTGCAGATGGCCAACTCCCTCTGAACCCTGCAGATTGGTGCTGAGCAGGCAACAAAAGTTTGTAGCTTCCCCTCAGGTTCCGGTGCTTCCCAGGAGAGAAGAAAGGACTTTCGCATTACACGCAAGAAACAGGCAGAGAGAGACTTCTCTAACTTTTCTCCACTGTGACCATTTGCAATGAAGAGGAAACAGAAGAGGTTTCTGCAGATGACTTTGTTATTCACTGTGGCTTTAATTTTCCTGCCCAATATCGGTCTTTGGTCTTTATACAAGGATAAACACCTGGTGAAATCTGCAGAACCTGTGGACCATCAGGTAAGTACCAGCCAGGGCAAGGGTAGCCGGAGGATGGGTTAGGTACGTACCCTGCCTTGGGAGGACATGGGGGAAACGTTATGGGGAGTTTCTCCCAAGTTCTCACAGAATGGATTTTACGGACTTCAGGGGACTTTGAGAAGGTACTGGGTCCCGGTCACTGAGATGATGAATGGAACATAAAATAAGAAAGAAGAACCCGAGGTCAAGAAGAAAAGGTATATTCTCTCAGTTGGTTATAGATTGGTTTTTGACTTGAAGTGGGTGGAAGGAAGCTGCCTTTTGTAGGAGGCAGAAGTGGGATTGGTACAAGTTCAATTATAGGGATTGGATTTTGCCTTCTGTCTTGTGTGTATTTCCATATTAAGTACATCTGGCCAAGTAAGTCATTCAAATTTTAAAGTGGTTTTCAAGAACCAATTCGTTGTTTGCTGTATTTTAACTCTTTTTCTATTTCTCAGCAAGAAAAACATTATTATCCTGTGGAAACTTAAACTCTGTCTTTTGTCTCCCCTCTTGCTGATGAGGTGTGATAGTTAGTAGAGGCAATTATTTAGAGTGTATATGTAATTTCCTCCAACATTTGACATGTTTGTTGCTAAAGGTTTTTCTTTATGTGATAAACAATACACAGTGTAGTACTTTGCTTTTCTTCTACTTAGCACATAGCCATTAGAATGCATATGTTTGCAAAATGACTTAATCATGTCCAAGTAACTTTCACGGAGAATAAGGATTCCAAGAATCCCTCAAAAAATGCTGATGGAAGTCAATACTGTTGGAATCCTACTGCTTAGTAAATACAACTTGTATTTTTTATATAAAAAAAATTGGACAATGATTTACAGCTTACTTCATGAAAACAATATACTTTTCCAGTCAGTACCATGTATTGCCCTAGAATATTAATATTCTTAATTCCATGTGCCATCACCCTTGTATGCTATGTACTTTTCACACATAGAAGAATCTAAATAATCCACTTCTGGACAACAGCAATATATATTAGTGGTAATTGATTATTTGTTCCTATAGTTAGCAAAGTTTAATCTTCTGTTTATACAGTGAGTGGATAGTTGTAAATTATATGGAGGTGATCTGAAGTTTTTCACTATGAGAAATCACTACCAATTTCTGAACATTAAAGAAAACTATATGCCTTGGATTTTCAGTGCATTGGAACTTTGAGGGAAAATGCTGACATGTTGATCTTGATCAATACTTTCTAGTCAGACTAGCTTCAATTGAATTATGATGAGTTTTGTCATGTCCATATATCCAGAGGGGATGGAAACTTGGGCTGTGGACTCCACAAGACAAATAGATCACTTCCTTTTCCAGTCTTTTATTCAGAGCAGAATAATGTCACAAGTAGCAGTCAATGTTTTCCTCTCAAAATTTCCACCAAATTAGGAAAACATAAGAGAAATTTATTTTATGTTATTATTGATTAATTATTAATACAATCTGAAGAATTTGCTGGGATAGTTAACATGAAAATCTAATTAATCTTATTAATGAGACCCTAACAGCTTTTACTTTGGCTATTGATTTTGAGGCTTAATGAGAAAGCTGTTTGTGCATTAGCATAAAAAAAATGTTACATTTCAGCTGTGAATGAGCCTACTACCCAGAGCAGTTTGCCTGTTTTGGGTTCAGATGACATGAAACTAATACTTAAGTTTCGGAAACAAAATGATGGCGCTGAAAGGCATGGGTGGCAGAGAAGCAGGTAGTTGCACTTTCTGGAAGTTTCTTGGACGACTGATGGGGATCTGGCAGCATAAAAGTTCAATGGTAAAGCTTTGAAAATTTCATAGGAAGAAAAGATACTGATAAGCTTTTGATAAACATTACTGTGTACATTATCACATCAATCCAAATGACAATTTCACAATTTTCACTTTCTTATAGATAAAAAAAATAAGTTATGGAATGTTCACATCCTTATGTAACTTTTGGATGAGTATAAGATAAGTCATTATTAAATTTGGCTTAATCAGAAGCAATTTGTCATGACACAGACTTCATGTTTTGATATTAGGATATAATAGTTTGAAATACAATATTTCAAAATTAGAGATTTATATGCTATTTATTGGTTTGCATACAGGTTTTCAATGACCAATGTAAACTGTGCTATTTGCTTTCAACAATTCACTTTCAAAAGACATTGTCAGAAATCATGTGCTGCTACGTCTATCTTGCTGTTGTAAAATGCTAAGGATGAGAATGATAACAAACGACAGCCCCGACAGCAATGGATGCTGAAGCTTTTCAGAACACATGCTGATAGGAGCCAGGATATTTTCACAGCTGTTGTGTGTGAAAACAATCAGGGTTTCTTGTTCACAAGGCTTGAAAATTCTCCATGGGCTTACATACGTATATCATTACACTGAGTAGTAGGGAAATACCTCAAGATAAGAAAGGTATAAATCCTGAAACCATGGGAATCTTTCCCAAATGTCCACTTTATTTTTTTTTCTTTCTATCTTTTGCCAGTTTATATCACTAAAACTCCTTCTACATAGTATCTAATTTAAATTGTATTTGTTTTGCAATGTAAGATGAATTGAAAGAAGATAATATATAAGACACAGGTCAAAACTGAAAACTGTTCTCATCTTTGTAAAGCTTAATAGTTAACATATTCTACACTATTGCAAATTGTTTATGCTTACAGTGGGTTTGTCTTAAGTACACTGCTTGTCATTATACTTCTTAATACCAAAGAGGAAGCAACATATTATATCAGAATTAGCAAATTATTCTTAAAATTGTTTTTTGTTTTTTATCATAAATTAAAAAATATTGATAATAATACAAACAATTGAACATTACAAGGTTGAAATTGAATATCTAAAATTATTCTTTGACATTTTTTAGGAATTAAAATCTTTATGCACATGTTTTTAATTATGACTATATGCTGTTTTAAGTTGACTTAATTTGCTCATTTTCTTTTTGTTGTTATTGAAAAAGATCTCTTTATGTTATTTAAATAATAGATCTGCTTAGTACAATAAATAACAGCTTATTCATTGTAACTATGATATTTAGATGATAATGATTGGTATGTGATTGTTCAGTGACAAATCTTAATTTTCTCTCCCTTTTCAAACATTTGAAGTGCTGCTGTTCTCTGATTAAAATTGCTCCACTACAAACTTGTATCATTAACTGCGTTATTGGAGGATATGTAGAATAATGCAATACCTTAAAATCAACTACTCCCTTATAATATTATGTGTATTTCCATTATTATTTACTCAAGTGTTTGTGAGAAGACTCCCCTAGAGATTCTTATTTTTAAAAATATTCAATAAGTTAACCAGCTTTACAACTAAATTGGATATAAGAGTTACAAAAATAATGCAAGACTTTTCACAACATAAAGAGGCTTTTGAAAATTTGCAATTTAAAAAAATAAAAGATGTAAAATCCACAAATTTCTAAGCACAGATTTCTAAGAGCTTTTCAGAATGGATAATTTATTTAAAAAAAAAACTTATGCTTGTGCAGAGTTTTCTGACATAGGAGAAAACAAGAAACAGATCACACAACAAAATTTCCTAATCCAGAGGTCATGTGGGCTTTCTTTATATTTATGTGATTTCAGGATTTATATTTATATCATATATCTGTCACGTTTGACATATAATGAGATGCATAAATTCCCAAGAGACTCCCATCTTGGATGTGGAATGTTTGTGAGGGAACCTCCTGTTCCCTAGGTGACTTCGCCACATGCGATACTTTCCTTCACCTTCTCCCACTAATATCCTTGTTTGAAGAGACACTAAAAAATCTTCAACTTTGCCCAGCTCATTCAATGTTACCGATTTCCTCATTTTAGTGGTAATATTCCTTTTGACCATCAATATTATTTTCTTCAACAGTGTGCATGTGTTAGTTTTTGTTTTTTAATATAAACCACAGAGGATAATTAGTACCCAGCCTATATAAACTGTTGCCTGCATTCTTTTGTTACATTAATTACTAAAGCTGAACAAAATGTGAGTTCTTTTCCCATAAAACATCTTAGATATTGGAAACACTAAAGACAGGAAATGAAGATTAGTAGTTTTCACTTTGAAGCAGGATAGTCTACTCGTAACATGGAATGATCTGAGCTGTTCTTCATTAGCTATAGTGTGCATTCTAAATTAGAGATTTTAAGGAGCTTTTTTTAATTTATTGAAAATTCGTCCAAAAATCACTATAGGACGGCACCACACATACATTTGTAACAAGTGTTTTGATTATTTCCTATGACACAGGGGATCACTGTATGAGGAGTTCATCACATTCCCCTGTGGCAGATCACATTAAATACCGTGATCTGCTACCAATCTGATGCAAACATAAGTCCATAAACAAATAGCAAATAACTATATAAATAAAATTAAAAAACAAAAGATGAAATAGTTTTTCTTTTGTCTGTTCTCATGTCTGAGTTACAGATGCTATGCTGGATCGATTACTCTCAGATAGGAACTGAGTCAAGCTGGAATATGGATGGAAAGTATGAGAAAGGCTGAGTAATTTAGTACAAATGCAGAAGCACACTGTGTAAATTGTTAGGAGTAGCCATGACAACCTTTAGGAAATTTTCATCCATGTCTCTTCATAAATATTTTATGCCAAAGAAGATCGTCAAGGGGACATCTAGACTCACTTCACAGCAAAGGCTAAGAATCAAAGTAGGAAAAAGGAAGTCCCTCATCTAAAACCATGTGTGGAAAGAGAGATGGGCACATTTGTGGTGCAATGATTTTTTTCTTTTCTTGTCTTGCTGAGGGTGAAGAGAGTAATAAAAGCATATTCAGAGTCCGTGAGGCTGTGTCAGAGGATGAGGTTGTGATCATCATATCTGTGTGTGTATGTGTGTGTGTGTGTGTGTTTGTGTATGTGTGTGTTTGTGTGTGTATGTGTGTGTATGTGTGTGTGTTTGTGTGTGTGTGTGTATGTGTGTGTGTATGTGTGTGTGTGTGTCT